GGGAAGAGGGGGAGGGGTTGCGAAGCAAGATCCGAAATCGAAACAGACGCCCTCGCAACATTGCAGAAAACCCAAGAATAAGATATATCCTTTCAACAGAGAAACAGTCAACTTGTTAACAGCAATAATTAATGCCTTTTCAAATACAGGAAATGTGTTTTCTAAATGAAAGGGGAGGCGTCCTTCTAATTCGCTAACTCAGAATTACAAAGTTCTATCTACAATTTTTGGCTGTATTGAGTAGCCTAACTAAGACCAAGAGATCAAAAATCAACAACACAACTAATCACCTAATCACATAACTGTTCTGTAATAATCGTAAATTTATATTGAGCCGTTGCCCGTTATCAAGATATTCAAAGAATTAATTGCATTCGAAAAAGCTTGACGTGTTGCGAAACTCATTTTTTTTAAAAGTTAAATTTATCCAAACTAGGTACTCGGGAGATGGAACTTTGTATTTCTAAGGGAGCGAATTGTTTATAAAGCCATGGAAGCAGAATAAATTGTCATAGGGCAGGATCAGGCGAGTATGGAGGGTGATCTTGAACTTTGAGGCGCACACACACGTACACGCATAGGCACAGGCACGCACCCTCCTTCCCCAACACACGCACACACACACACACGCACACACACAAACACACCGGCACACATACATACACACACACACGCACACACACACACACACACACACACACACACACACACACACACTGCTCCTCCATGTCTCCTCCATGTCTCCCCCACGTAAACAGAAACATAAGATATATATATATATATATATCTACACACAAACTCATCATGCATGCTCACTCCTACTGCACCTAAAATGCTGTAGCTTTGTAAGCCTACACTTCGAATAATAAGTGGGGGTTCTCCACATAAATAATACAAAATCCATTCTAGTACTTAGGGGCCTACTTAATTCCTACTTGTACACAAAGCAGGAAGCAGGAAGCAGTCGACACCGCATAATAATTATTATGACAAGATGAAATAAAATACCGATATTGCTGTCACAATTTTTTTTTTTTTTTTAAAGAAAAGAAAAAAGTCTGACCCCCCTCCCCCTCCCTCCCACTACCAAGCTCAATTATGACCAATAACTAGAATACACACACATACACACACACACACACACACACACACACACACACACAC